TGGGAAGTGGAGCAGCTAGGTCTCAAACCAGCACCCATATGGGATGCTGGCACTTCAGGCCAGGGCGTTAACTCACTGTGCCACAGCACTGACCCCAACAATTAACAATCTGATGTACGACATCAGTGACCACCTGAGGCTCTTGACATGAACTGCCTAGGCTATGGAAGCCTTTTGAGTCTACAAACTCTGTCTTTACAAGGCCATCAGCATAGTGGAAATTCTCTCCTCCCTTCAGAGAAAAGTGCATCCTTCTTTGATGGTCACTTCCTTCCACTGGAGTCACTCTCATAGAGATCCTTCATTTAGTACATTTTTTCCACAGTGCCTTGCTTTTCCATGCCTTAAATGCTCTCATGGGCTTTTCAGGCAGACCAGAATGTCTTATGGGCTGATTATCAGGTCAGAGTGTTACTTAAAGTGATTGTTGGCCAGCGCTGCGGTTCACTAGGCTAATCCTCCGCCTTGCGGCACCGGCACACCAGGTTCTAGTCCTGGTCGGGGCGCTGGATTCTGTCCAGGTTGCCCCTCTTCCAGGACAGCTCTCTGCTGTGGCCTGGGAAGGCAGTGGAGGATGGTCCAAGTACTTGGGCCCTGCACCCCATGGGAGACCAGGAGAAGTACCTGGCTCCTGCCATTGGATCAGCGCGGTGCGCTGGCTGCAGCGTGCCAGCTGCAGCGCGCCAGCCGTGGTGGCCATTGGAGGGTGAACCAACGGCAAAGGAAGACCTTTCTCTCTCTCTCTCTCTCTCTCTCTCTCTCACTGTCCACTCTGCCTGTCAAAAAAAAAATAAAAATTAAAAAAAATAAAGTGATTGTCATTCCATGAGTCTGCTGCGTGGACTCCTTCCCATGTTAGAACATTCTCTCCTTTTAATTCTATCTAATAGTATTACCAGACATGTGATCTTATTTATGTTATCACTTTAACACTTAACCATATCTATATGATCATTTGAATGCTTAATATGGTCATGTTAACACTTAAAATGGCATTTTTACCAACCAGCTTAAGCGGATTTGAGGTCCTATGGCAAGTTTTTAAAATGTATCCTTAGAAATAAGTCCACAGGAATGTATGCAGAACTATAAAGCTTTACAGTTGCAAACTTCCACCTCCCTCTCTTATTCCCACCCTTATTTTTTGCTGACATCTATTTTAAATAGACTTTTTATACATATGATTAGCTTTATGTTAAAAGTTCAACAAATAGAATGAGGAAAAGAAAAAAAAAACTGTTCCTCAGGAGTCAAGACAAGGGCTGTTCAAGTCATTGCTTCTCAAAGTGTCAATTTCACTTCTACATATTTCCTCTTAGGGGCTCTATTAGTTATCACAGATAAGGGAGATTATATGGTTTTTGTCCCTTTGGGACTGGCTTATTTCACTTAGTATATTTTCCAGATTCACTCATTTTGTTGCAAATGACAGAATTTCATTTTTTTAAACACTGTATAGTATTCCGTAGAATACATATTCCATAATTTCTTCATCTAGTCTTCCGTTGACAGGCATTTAGGTTGATTCCTCATCTTAGCTATTGTGAATTGAGCTGCAATAAACATGGGGGTGCATATAATTTTTTTTTTATTTGCTGATTTCATTTCCCTTGGGTAAACTCTCAGGAGTGGGATGGCTGCGTTGTATAGTAGGTCTATATTCAGATTTGGACATCTCCATATTGTCTTCCACAGTGTCTTTACCAGTATACCCGCCCACCAACAATGCATTAGGGTACCTTTTTCCCCACATCCTTGCAGCATCTGTTGTTAGTTGATTTCTGTATGAAAGCCATTCTAACTGGGGTTAAGTGAAACACTGTGGTTTTGATTTTTTCTTTCCCTGAGGGCTTGTGGTCTAGAACATTTTTTCATCTGTCTGTTGGCCATTTGGATGTCCTCTTTTAAAAATGTCTGAATAAGTCCTTTACCCATTTATTAACTGAGTTGTTTTGTTGTTGAGTTTGTTTATTTCTTTATGTATTCTTGTTATTGTTTATCAGTTGCATTGTTTGCAAATAAGTTCTCCCATTCTGTGGGGTGCCACTTTGTTTTCCTGAATGTTTCTTTTGCAGTACAGAAGCTTCTCAATTTGATGTAATCTAATTTGTCAATTTTGGATTTGACTTTATCTCTGGGGTCTTTTCCAAGAGTTCTTTGCCTGACCAATATCTTGCAGGGATTCTCCAATTTTCTCTAATAATTTGATGGTATTAGGTCATAGATTTAGCTCTTTAATTCATTTGGAATGGATTTTCATGTAAGGTATAAAGGTAGGATCTTGATTCATACTTCTGTTTGTGGAAATCCAGTTTTCCCAGCACCATTTGTTGAAGATACTGTCCTTGCTCCAGGGGCTGGTTTTAGGTCCTTGATCAAATATCAGCTGGTTGTAGATTCTTGGATTAATTTCTGGTATTTTTAGTCTATTTCATTTGCCTATCCATCTGTTTTTGTACCAGTATCAGACTGTTTTGATTATAACTGTAGGGTTTCTTGATATCTACTATTGTGGTGCCCCTGGCTTTGTTTTTGTTGCATAAGATTGCTTTAGCAATTCAAGGTCTCCTATATTTCTATATCAATTTCAGCATCCTTTTTTCTAGATCTGAGAAGAATGTCTTTGGTATTTTGATTGGTGTCAGGTTGAATCTGTAAATTGCTTTTGGAAGAATGGACATCTTGTTGATATTGATTCTTCCAATCCATAATCATAGAAGATTTTCCATTTTTTGTATCTTCTTCTATTTCTTTCTTGAATCTTTATAATTCTGATCATAGAGAACTTTGACATCCATGGTTAAATTTATTCTAAGGTTTTTTTTAATTTTTTATATGTGTGGTTATTATGAATGGTATTGATCTTAAAAACTCAATTTCAGCCATGATGTTGTCTGTATATACAAAGGCTATTGATTTTTTTATTTTTTTTAATTTTTATTTTTTTGACAGGCAGAGTGGACAGTGAGAGAGAGAGACAGAGAGAAAGGTCTTCCTTTTGCTGTTGGTTCACCCTCCAATGGCCGACGCGGCCAGCGTGCTGCGGCCGGCGCACCGTGCTGATCCAATGGCAGGAGCCAGGTACTTCTCCTGGTCTCCCATGGGGTGCAGAACCCAAGTACTTGGGCCATCCTCCACTGCACTCCCGGGCCACAGCAGAGAGCTGGCCTGGAAGAGGGGCAACCGGGACAGAATCTGGCGCCCCAACCGGGACTAGAACCCGGTGTGCCAGCGCCGCAAAGCGGAGGATTAGCCTAGTGAGCCACGGCGCCGGCCCAAAGGCTATTGATTTTTGTGTATTGATTTTATATCCTGTTACTTTATGAAACTCTTCTATAAGTTCCAATATCTCTTGGTGGAGACTATATATTTCGATTGGACCATTTGGTTTATAGTGTTAATTTACTCTACTGTTTCCTTGCTGATTTTCTGTCTGGTTGATCTGTCCATTGCTGAAATGTGGTATTGAAATCCCCCATTACTGTTGTATTTGAGTCTAGATCCCCCTTTAATTCCCTTAACATTTCTTTTAAATATCCAGGTGTCCTGTAATTAGATGCATATACATTTATCATAGTAACATCTTCCTGTTGAGTTGATCTCTTAATTATTACATAGTGTCCTACTTTGTTTCTTGTAACAGTTTTTTTGTGTAGTGTATATTTTGTCTGATATTAGGATGGCTATACCAGCTCTTTTTTGGTTTCTGTTAGCATGGAATATCTTTTTACAGCTTTTCACTTTCAGTCTGCATGCATCTTTGTTAGTGAGATATGTTTCCTGTAGGCAGCAAATCAATGGGTATTGTTTTTTAATCCATTCAGCCTGTCTGTGCCTTTTCACTGGGGAGTTGAGGCCATTTACATTCAAGCTGACTACTGATAAATAACAACCTTGCCCTGCCATTTTTCCATAAATATTCCTATTGTTTACTTTATATTTACTTTGTACTTTTACTAGGAGATGTCCTTCCTTTACCTTCTTCTGTAGTGATGAACATGTTTTGTGTTTCTGTGTGCAGAACATCCATAAGCATCTTCTGCAGGGCTATATGGGTGGTGACAAATTCTTTCAATTTCTGTTTTTCATGGATGGTGTTTATTTCACCTTTGTTCATAAATGAGAGCTTTGCAGGGTATATTATTCTGGGTTGACAGTCCTTTATTCTTAAGACTGGAAGATATCTTGCCATTCTCTCCTAGCCTGTGGTGTTTGATGAGTGTCCATTGTGAATCTAATTAGGGATCCTCTGAAATTAATCTGGCATTTCTCTCATGCACATTTTAGAATTTTTTTATGTTTTACTATATGGAGAGTTTGATTACAGTGTGTCGTGGTGAATATTTTCTGGTCATGTCTATTAGGAGTTTTATGTGCTTCCTGTACTTGGATGTCCCTTTTTTTCTCCAAATTGGGGGATATTTCTGTTATAATTTCACTAAAGAGGCCTTTTAATTTTTTCTCTCTTTCCACGCCTTCAGAAACTCTTAGATCCCATTTGGTGGTTCATTTGATAGTATCCTGTAGATTACCAAAACTGTTTTTTAGTCTTCTAATTTCTTCTTCTTTTGTTTGGTCTGAATGTTTAAATTCCTGTGCTTTGTCTCCTAAGTCAGATATTCTTTCTTCTGCTTCACCGATTCTGCTGTTAAGGCTTTCCACTGAATTCTTTGTTCTACTGAATTCTCCATTGTTAAGATTTCATTTTGATTTCTCTTTAATATCTCAATTTGGTCAGAGAAATTTTTTGTCAGGTCATATATAGATTTCATTAGTTCATGCATTTGCTTCTGATTACTTGTAAGTAATCCTATGATCAACATTTTGAATTCTATTCATTTCTTCAATCTTATCATCTTCACAATCTAGTACTGAAGTGTTGCGTTCTTTTGGGGGTGGCATATTGTCTTCCTTATTCTTGTTTCTTGAATTGGGGCATTTTTTATTTGGCTTTTCTGGAAATACTTTTTGGTTTCTTCTTCTTTTTTTTTTTCCTCCCCCTGCTGTGGCAGCTTTTACCTTTTACTGTGTCTGAGTGGATTAGTGGCATGTCTGCTCTCAGGGACTACCTAGAGGTTTGGCACATGGTAGGTGTGGCCAAGGAGCTCTGTTTAGTGCTCCAAAGTGAAGGGTGTTTCTGATTTGACAAACCCAGATTTGCTGTGGTAAACCTCTCTTTAATAAATAAAAAAATAAGAGGTTTCCTCTTGTCTATTGGCTTAGACTCAGTTGAACTCCTCTCCTCAGTGCCTAGGTCCCAGCCCCAGTGTGCATATTATTCGTCTGTTCTGCCACAAGGACCACACAAAGGATCCGCACAGTCCTCAGTTAAGCTCAGATTCCCCAGCAATGTCCCTTGTCAGGTACCCAGTGGCTTCTATAATAGGAAAGTAATTCCTTCAAATGCATGTATGTAAACATATCTCCTGCGAAACATAATGTGAAATATTAAAGTATATTTATAGTATATTTGCATAATTTTCTGAATATGGAAATCTTTTCATTTAAAAAATTCTTCTGATATAAATAACAATTTTAATAATCTAAAATTAAATACAATTAAATGTATCTCATACATTCCTAGATACTTTTTAGAACATGTATAATTAATGAATGAATAAGCTTTTGCTATTAATGTTTCTGTATCCTTTTTTCAAGCAATAGTGACATAATTTCAGTAAAAATTATTTTTCTAGGTTTCAAACTTATATGTTAGCACAGAGAAAATCTGGCCCAATAAATGAATAAGTGGAAAACAAGTTTTACGAAGCAATATCATTCAATTATTGTTCTAAATAAAAATTTCATTAATTAAATGACATTATCTATATGATAAATCTACCCCTGTGTCAATGAAAATAAAAAATATTTATCATTCAATCATATGGATTATTCATCATGTTAATTTCTAAAAATTTTACCAAAAAATCCTACCAAGAATTAATAAATGACTTTTAATTATTCATGTTACCCTTGCACTAACAGAAAACTTGTTTGATATGTTAGCCTTTTAAGGGATGGGAAAAGTTGAAATTTCTTATACTTCCATATATATTTTCTAATATTTACTAATTTCTAATTGTATATTCAATATACCTTCTTTCTTTCTTTCTTTTTTTTTTTTTTGTTTTTGACAGGCAGAGTGGACAGTGAGAGAGAGAGACAGAGAGAAAGGTCTTCCTTTTGCCATTGGTTCACCCTCCAATGGCTGCCGCGGCTGGCGCGCTGCGGCTGGCGCACCACACTGATCCGAAGGCAGGAGCCAGGTACTTCTCCTGGTCTCCCATGAGGTGCAGGGCCCAAGCACTTGGGCTATCCTTCACTGCACTCCTGGGCCACAGCAGAGAGCTGGCCTGGAAGAGGGGCAACCGGGACAGAATCTGGCGCCCCGACCGGGACTAGAACCCAGTGTGCCGGCGCCGCAAGGCGGAGGATTAGCCTAGTGAACCACGGCACCGGCCTCAATATACTTTCATTGATAATTTGCAGTTGTAGATACAATTCTTTCCATTAAAAACTGTTTATCTTTTACTTATTTGAAAGGCAGAGAGAAAGAGAGAGAGAGAGAGAGACAATTTCCCATCTACTTCTTCACTTGTCAATGTCTGCTGCATCGAGGGCTGGGTAAGGCCAAAGCCAAGAGCTAGAAACTCAACCTGAGTTCTTCTATGTGTGTGCAAGGACCCAGCTTCTCTACCTATCACCTGCTGTTGCTAACCAGGACACACAACAGCAGGATGCTGGAGTCAGAAGTAAGTAGAGCTGAGACTGGAACCCAGGCACTCTGATATGTGATGTAAGCATCTAAAGGGGCATCTTAATCGCTATACTATATATGGGTCTATAGGCTCTTTATTTTTTGAAAAATATCCGTTCTGTAATTTTACTGGCAAAGTCAGATTTCAAGGTTAAAGAAACTGGTAAACCGAGCTTATTGCAGGAAGACATTAATTTCATTTAACTTTCATCAAAATTAATGTTATTTGCATACTTTCAGATTCCATCTTCATAATGTTATATTATGTAGATAGTTAAGTTATGGGTTTTTATTCTGATTTTGTGCTTAATGTATCTGCCGTTAATGATTACTGACACTTTCTTTGCTTGGTTCTAATAAAATTCCACTACAGGAGCTATGCTTCTTCTATTATAAGGTTTGAGGTTTGAAAGAAGGTCTTTACTGAAAAAACTGTCATTTTCTCATATTGTTGTTCTCAATGAAGTGGGAAGATTCAAAATTGAACCGAACACTGTATGGTTAGAAATAAAACACAGTAGAAACACAGACTGTTTTCCTCCTGTCTATGATCCTATCAGCTGTATCTATATCCACCCATTCATTAAACCAACTTAAAATTAGCTAGCTAAGCATGAAGACACAAAGACCTACAGGAGTAACCTTAATAAATTATTGTTCAGTGACACTGGTTTTTCAGTTGCTACTAACAGTGAGATGGAGCTTTAATGCCATTCAAAAAGATGCACAAGGTTATATTGATCACACTGGTGAATACTGTACACTGTCGTGTGAAGTGAAAGGCTACAGCTAATGCTGAGGTCTAGAAGGTGAATTGACAGTATGCTTGGACTTGAAGTACGATCAAAAAGAACAATATACAGAATGTTGAGGGATTTAAAATTGATTTCCCGAGATTATCTTTGGTAAGGTTTGCAGGGATGGAAAACAAATTGCACTAGACAATTGAAAATTCAAGCCTGGAAAGCAGAAAAAAAGTGAAAGATGCAGATATGCATTTCTAAGTCACATCAATTGAAGAGAAGAAATACTAATTACACAACAGGGAAGACTTTATTTATTCCCTATGTTACTTTTTTTTTTCAAGATAGGAGGCTAAAGTTTGTTTTTATGATATACTATTCTGAAAATAAGCACTGATTCTGAGAATAAAAGAAATGTTTCAATAAGTAATATTTGTGATAAAGCAATTTTTAAAATAGAAAATGGGACATTTTTATTTTTTGGATTAAAATCTATTTCAAGGAAAGTTAATCCATACATTAAAAAGGAATAAACAGTAATAAGTAGATATTACAAGTAATTATTGAAAGATTGAATTTCTACTTAGAGAAAATATCTCAGTAAGTTTAAATGTAAAATATTGATAAGTTGTATAACATTCAAAGTCTTGAAATATTAAGTACTTTCTACATGTTTTTATACAAAAATAAATCACAGGCAGTTATTATTTATGGTAATTTTAAGATAACTGAAATGTTCATTTCAGTCTTTATATTTATGTATATGAAAGGCAGAGTGATAGAGAAGGACAGATACAGAGACTCTGATTATCCATTAATTGGTTCACTCCCCAAATGGCCACAACAGCCAGTTCTGGACTAGGTCAAAACCCAAGAGCCAGGAGCTCCTTACTGGTCTGTCACATGCATCCAAGTGCCCAAGCACTTGGGTCGTCTTCCATCACCTTCTCAGGCACATTAACAGGAAGCTGGATCAAAAGCGAAACAACCAGGACTCGACTCAGAGCTCCAGCATGAGACACTGGCTTTGCAAGCAGCAGCTTAGGCAGCCGTACCACAAGGCCAGCCCTTCTGGTAATTTATACAAATGAATGCTGTTACGTTTGTTAAGACTGAAATGTTGAAGAGAGAAGAGTATTTGGGCCAGCAGTGAATCCACCAGTTATGATGCTCATTTTCCACATCAGAGTGCCTGGGTTCAATGCCTGCCTCCACCAGCTGCCATTCCAGCTTTCTGCCAATGCAGCCCCTGGGAACAGTGATGATGGCTTAGGTAACTGAATCCTTGAAAGTCATTCTGGGAGCATCAGAAGGTTCTCAGCTCCTGGACAAGCCACAGCGCAGCCCAGACCACTGTAGGCCATTTAGGGGAGTAAACCAGAGGACAGAAGCACTCCCTCCATCTGCCTGTTTCTCTCAGTCTTCCTGTATCTCAAATGCATCAGGAAAGTTGAGGAGTGAAGCTTCAGAAAGTTTTAAGCATTTGCATGTAAAGCTGAATAATGTAAATACAGCTCTAATGTATATACTTCCAAAAAATACTAGAGAATAACAACTCAAAATCACCTCTTTGATCAGTCAACTTAATATATACACAAGTCATCACCAAGACTTCTGAACTTGTTCAACGAGCATATTTCAACCTGTGTATCCAAAACTCTTCCTCAACCACAAGAATGAGCAAGTATGCATATTTATAACCACTCTGGTGATAGTACATATTTATAAAAGTTAATATGAATAAAACATTCTCTATTGAATTATCTATCAGCATTCAATAGAAAATTGCAAATCATTAACACTAGCACAAATTTGATCTTTCAAAATGAAAATAATGTGAATTCAAGTATTTTGTTGATATGTTCTCAAGTATATTTCTATTAATCAGAAGAATGCAGTCTTGCTTCCATATTAGTTTAAATTTGAAATCCAACAGATCATTTACATTACCAATAAACATGGTTACAACTTTTACCATCATTTATAAGGGAAAGGAGAGCTCAGCAGGCCTCTACTATTTATGGAGACAAAGATTATTGATTACAAGAAAAACATTACCCAGAAAAATTTTCCATTGCTATATAGAACCTAATTTGAAAAGAAAAGTGAATTTTGACATCTTCATCATCTGGTCTAGATGGTTTATATGGCTGAAAAATTATGAAATAACATTTACAGGGGTTTGAACCACCTGCTACTGTACACACAGCTGATTTTAAAGAAGTCCCAACAAGGCTTGTAGACTGTTAGTGAAATGTTACCAACGTACCTTGTAACTGAATCTTATTCTCAGGACTCTGAACCAAAACAGAACTGACAGAATCTAGGTTGTCATAGTTACTGCAGCCGAGAGGACCGGTCCGTGTTTCTGTTACCTGGTGAACAAAACATTGCATTTATTGTATACATCAGACTTTACAATGTTCATTCAGTTTGTCATAGTTATCTCGTGCTAATATTACACATTTGAGGGTAAATATCGTTAGAGGGGCCAGGGACTAAAACTCAACGAGCAAAACACAAAACAGCACTCAGGACTCTTCCTCATCTTCTTTATCCCGATGTCAGGCACAGAACATCCAGAAAAATAGCAGAAGCCTTCTTTGATCACAACTCATGATTTTAGGGAAGACAAAATAAGAACATGCCTCTCAAGTTAGGGAGAAGGCTTTGAGTTTTAGAAGAAGTATTTTCACTTTCCTCAATAAATCAGACCCATCTGCCAGGCAACTGTCTAAAAACTGATTGCATTATTAGATTCCTCTACTTAAAAAGCTACACTTATCTCCTCCCCTCTTTCTGGTGGTGTTGCAGTCTGACTCTGTCTGGCATCTGCATAAATTCTCACTCACAGACAGGCCTTCTCCCTGTCCCATGGGAAATTCTTTGTTTAGATAATGATCCCCACCTTCAGTCCACCTTGATGAGGGAGGCTCCTTTCTCAGCAGAGACTAAAATCTGGTGTATGGATGAGTTTCAAAATGAAGCTCACGTTCCAATACCATCCCAAGCTATTCCTTAACGATTTCTACCTATATTATTCTGCCATTTCTATCAAATATGGCTGGCAATACACTTTAGTAAATAATTATGAAGTCTCATATTGTAGACTGATTTTTTTTTACTTGGATGTCTTGGGAAAGACAGTATTAGGAGATGATGAGACAGTTTCATTGATTATATGAAGTTGGAAATTTATCCTGAAGATCATTTTAATTGCAATTGTAATGAACTTTGTGTTTTAAAAAAGTAACAAGGATATCTGTGAAAACTAAAATTCAGGTTACTTCATCCACCATAGTTACTCATCTCACTCTGGGGCAAACTAGAGACATTTCTAGGACTAGAAAGATAGGCACATTATCCAGCTACCTGTAACTGCTCTAAACTCGCCTCCCCTCACCCTTCCTTCTGCTACAACCACACTTTCTGCTTTTTCTCAAACACATTCATCAGGCTCCTGGCTTAGGATCCCTGACTTGCTGACCTTATCCTGATGCTCCTCCTCTGAACACGTCCACACTGTCACTCCCTTCAAGTCTGTGCTCAATAGCCTTCTCTATGCAGACTAACCTATTTAAAGTGAATACTCCTACTTCTTCCAAATATAATTCTGCTCTTATCTTGCTCTACTTCTCCAATGGTGATCAGCTCCTAAGAGGCCATATAATTTACTCTTCCCTCATGGTTATCACTGATACGTCTCTGCAGAAGCTAACCGCACAAGTGCTGGGGATATGGGCAATTTGGTTCACTTAGGAGACTACAGTGCATCACTGTTCTCGTCTAAGATCACAGGCACTGGCGAAGTGAAAGAAAATGGAAATGGAAGCAAGGAAGACATCAGGGTAATGAGTGATACGAGGGAAGTCTGAAGTAAGCAGCAGCAATAAGATGAATCTGGCCGGCGCCGCGGCTCACTAGGCTAATCCTCCGCCTTGCGGCGCCGGCACACCGGGTTCTAGTCCCGGTCAGGGCGCCGGATTCTGTCCCGGTTGCCCCTCTTCCAGGCCAGCTCTCTGCTGTGGCCAGGGAGTGCAGTGGAGGATGGCCCAGGTGCTTGGGCCCTGCACCCCATGGGAGACCAGGAGAAGCACCTGACTCCTGCCATCAGATCAGCGCGGTGCGGTGCGGTGCGGTGCGCCGGCCACAGTGCGCCAGCCGCGTCGGCCATTGGAGGGTGAACCAACGGCAAAGGAAGACCTTTCTCTCTGTCTCTCACTCTCCACTCTGCCTGTCAAAAAAAAAAAAAAAAAAAAGATGAATCTGAAGAAGATGGATTTTTTTTTTTTTTTGGACAGGCAGAGTTAGACAGTGAGAGAGAGAGAGAGAGAGAGAGAGAAAGATCTTCCTTTTTTCTGTTGGTTCACCCCCCAAATGGTTGCTATGGCAGGTGTGCTGCACTGATCCGAAGCCCGGAGCCAAGTGCTTCCTCCTGGTCTCCCATGCGGGTGCAGGGCCCAAGGACCTGGGCCATCCTCCACTGCACTCCTGGGCCACAGCAGAGAGCTGGACTGGAAGAAGAGCAACCGAACAGAATCCGGCGCCCCAACTGGGACTAGAACCCAGGGTGCCTGGGCTGCAGGCGGAGGATTAGCCAAGTGAGCTGCAGCACCGGCCCAAGAAGATGGATTATGAAAACAACTAGAACTGGCTCGAACAGGAAACACTAAAAGTGTACAACAAAGCGGGGAACGGACAAGATGACATGAACATATGGTGCAAAGTAGAGCCACTACGGAGGGCACACAAGGAGCTGGCTTCTTCGCATGCTAAGTCTCTGGTGAAGACACGCAGCAGAAGAAGCGACAACACACATCTATTTTCAGAAGTGATATCAAAGACAGGCCTATTAATTTTGGACTTGTCGATTTATAGGCAATTATCTAGGACGGTAGGATAGATTCATCAATTCAAGGCAGGGAGTGCGTGTATGACATAATTCCTAAATGAGTCCTTCATAGTAACACAAACTGCCTGTTGTGTACAAAGCAACATCTGAAATTAGAGTTTATCATGGGGAAGAATTTCCCTTTTTCCTAAATTAATATTGACTTGAATTTTCCTTTACTCATTGTCCCCCAAGTGGTGATAATGAAAATCTCTTTTGCTCAGGGAAATAATGTATAATATTGCTATGTTTAATATACACATACCCATTTGTTAGTTAAATATAAATGACTAGCAGTTTGAGGGGCTGGCACCATGGCGTAGCAGTTAAAGCCACTGCCTGCAGTGCTGGCATCCTATATGAGACCCGGTTTGAGTCTTGACTGCCCTACTTCCAATCCAGCTCTCTTCTATGGCCTGAGACAGCAGTAGAAGATGGCCCAAGTCCTTGGGCCCCTGCACACATGTAGGGGACCTTGAAGAAGCTCCTGGCTCCTGGCTTCAGATAGGCCTCGCTCCAGCTACTGAGGCGATTTGGGGAGTGAACCAGTGGATGGAAAACCTTTCTCTGTCTCTGCCTCTGCCTCTGCCTCTCTGTAGATCTGCCTTTCAAATAAATAAATAAACATTAAAAAAATAAATGAAAAGCATTTTGAAGTCAATAGAAGATGAAAAACTTTGAAGTAACACTTAGGGTTTGAGGCCATTTTAGTATTCTTTCATATAGGTTATCTGTTGCTCTCCAACTCATTCAAAAAACATATATACCCATCACGATACCGCAAACACACGCCATACTTGTGTTTTCAAGTAGTTTTCAGAATAAAATTGGCTTTAAGCACACACTCATGACATATCACATCTTGGAAACTGGAAAAAACTCTCCTAACACTTAAACTTTGAGTTCAGATAGTATCATTTTATATCATTACAGCCCCTCTTAGATTCAGATATTGTATAGCTAGGGACAAACTTAAGAAAACTGAATAACAGTTAATAATTCAGGGAAAAGCTGAATTTCTTTTTATCTATTTATCTGATGTATATATTATATAAATGATATATCTATATATTACTGCTTTAATCTCTTATATTTCACAAAATGCAATAAAAATATGGCATCACATTCATAATTTTACCTTATTCTCTCTCATTCACAACTGAATTCACTGATGTCGAATTCAATGTAAAAATTCATAAACTCTTAGCACATTCTATCAAGCAAATCTATTTCTCAACTATATCATATGTAAGTACCCTATGTGCCTTACAAGTTTCAGTATTAGTAAAAGATCCTTTCTTAATACATTTTAAAATAATGAAGTGAACACAGATGGAAAATGCAACACACTTTGTTATACAAACATTACTGCAGAGAGGCTAACTCTGCACAATATAATTATGTAGATTATCACAAATATCAAACTTACATCATCAGCTGTTTTAAAGTCTGATACAGGAGTTGCCACGTACAATGCACAAATGTTGGATTATTCAGATACAACATTGATTAGGGTTGACAACAATCCTTTATCAAGAGCATTCATGGTTTTGGAGAAAGGATATACAGAAGGAGAACATATCAATTAATTTATATTATTTAGCTCTGGGACTGACTATTTTGAGAGCAAGGACTAACAGTGTAGACAGAGCATCCAAGGGAAGACCTCTCAGAACTGTCCCTTTGGGTGGTGGCTGCTTTTGGATACAAGAAGCACAATTTCACATTCTTAAAGACTGGGGAGCTCAAAGAGAACTGTCGGGTGTGTGGTATGAAAGGCGCAGCTTAACCCGCTGTGGAGCATGACATGGAACCTTGCAGAAGCTTATCTGGGGGAAATTCGTTGTCTGCATATGACAAATGAGTTCTTACCTCTAAAATGGACAGGCTATGTGAACAGTGTTTTCAACACTGTTGAAAAGCACTGAGGCTACACAGGTATAATAAGTCAGGAAATGTGCATGCATTTTTCAATATTTTCATTATCGTTTCATTGAATTATTACCTATTATCTTCACAGTTGGAGAATTTCACAGTTAAAGACAAATGACCTTCATAATTCAAAGTGATGTTTTGTAATTAATTATATAAACATTAACACATATTCAAGTTTACTTACATTAAAATACAATCGGCAAAGCTAATTTACTTGGAAATAAATAATCCTTGCCAGTTTTTATCAAATTTTCTTTCAGGCTTACATACTCTAAGGATGATATTTTTAACTTAAGAATTATTGTAGCTGAGCCTTGTTGCTAAAGTTTTGTAAATTTAATCAGTAAGAACTAGTTAAAGAAAATTAATATGAAGCAAAAATGAAAGAAAGAAAGAAAGAAAAAAGGAAAACAAAGTAATTGTAAACAAACAGAAAACCAAGCAGCCCTCTTAGGGGAAATACCACTACTCCATCATCTCCAAACTTCATTATAAATGTAAATTATTCTAGACACATTCTAATCCTATCATGTAATTTTAAAAAGCAGA